AAATTCTTATATTTATTTTATATTAATATCTTATTTTATATTAAATTAAAGTCTTCGCGCATGCGCGACTACTACTCCCGCGCATGCGCGAAGACATAGAGTAGGACACAATTTTTGTTTGGAATGGCTTCTCTAGTACGTAGTACATATAACTCAAAGTCTGCTGACAACAACATTAATACTATGCTAGCCCTTTAAATAACACCCATTATTAAGAAGACGCTGCTGCCTAACTTTTGCTTTATTTCCCTCTGTCGCCTCTAACGACACCCACGGATCGATTTGGGGTAGTGGATATTCTTACGCCACTTCGGTCCAGATCTTACAAGTAGTAAAATAAAATACTTTATCAATTTGAGTTTATTTTTTTCTCATACGTCAATAAATAAGCGCTGTTTTGCATGTCTACCTTATAGCTTTAATTGATTCAATTTCGTATTTAAATATGTAGTACATTTTACGCGTAATAAACTTTGCTAATTGTTAATTTTCACTGTTCAATATAAATAGGACGTTATTTTCTTCGCGATCTCGCTATAAGTGATGTCGTTGCAATAGCCGCAATCGGACCCACTTTCCTTTAAATTTTTACAACGACTGCACGTTGTCAGCGATTTCCTGGGGATCATAACATAAAAGTTATGTGTAAATTATTATTACAATGCAAATTAAATTTTAAATATCTCACTGTTGGGGTGGAGGCTACTGCTCGTTATTAGTCATCCATAAGAGTTTATAATCACTAGGTGTTAGTCCACCTCGCTGATCTTCACGCGTACCACAATGACAAATATAGAGCCTATGTTTAGCTGTGGACTTTTGATAAGACTACAATAAATGAATAAGGTAGTATTAGGTGTTAAACCAGAACTTTTTATAGTAACAGATTTTAACAAGCGCTTTGTATTTAATTAAAAATGATAGTAAAGGAGAGCAATAGTTTTGTTCTATACTTATTTGAATTGGGTAAACTGACATCGGTACATTGTAAGGATGGTCATATCTTGATCAAATTTGGGATGTGGTCCCACCAAACTACCACCACATGAGAAGCACCAGCTTTCAAATAAAAAAGAATCATCAAAATCGGTTCACCTAGAAAAAAGTTCTGAGCTAAGTCACATTAAAAAAATACAGTCGAATTGCGAACCTCCTCTTTTTTTTGAAATCTCTTGAAAAATGACGTAATAAGCATCCCGCGTTCCCCTTTTTCTCGTCCAAAACTGGACCGAGATTTTATTAAAAAACAATAAAAGGATTGTCTGTACGTTTTTATTTTATTTTCTGTTCCTCGTGCTGAATGTCTGTTAACAGCGATATAACTGCTGCCTAAAATATTATAATCAGTTAATTATTGACAGACATCTGTCTTTATAATGAAAAAATACGTCTTTACCTATGAAATCGCCGTTTCTGATGAAATAAGTTAAGGTAATTCTTTTTTCTATATTTTTTATTTCTACTAATCAAAGTAATCACCCCTGCAATCGACTCATCAACGCCAACGAGGCGGCAGTTTATTGATGCCCTTCTTGATGAAATCAGCTAGACGGGAGGCAACAAATTCTACGAAGGCATTTTGAACTGCCTCTCGGGTATTTAATTTTTTTCTCGCCAAAAAATCATCCAAATTCTGGAAAAACAGGAAGTCTGTATGCGCAAAGCCTGGTGAGTACGGCGGATGACGGAGAGCTATCAACCCCAGCTCTTGTAACTTGGAGATCGTCTGTGGTCGAGCAGAAGTAGTGGGGACGAGTGATTGACCAAGTCTTGGAGACGTGCAAGCTTCTTCATCATTGTGTTCAGTTCTTAAATCCCACCGGCACTAGACCGAAGAAAACATGACCAGCAAAAAAAATTTAAATGTGGTAAGTAAAGCCATACTACAGCTATATTAATTGTATAGTTGTAGCACGAATGGGTCGGCACAGCCGGGCAAGGACCACACTCTCACAGAATACCAGTGTAAAATAGCAGCTTAATGACGCTGTGTTTCGTATGAGTGTAGAGAACCGGAGACCCTTTTTTCTGGAAAAGAAGCATTCAATCTTAGTCCTCACAGCTGATAACGCATCAGGTGGACTGTGTGTTCGCTTGTCCTATTAAAAAAAACAGCGACCATCATTTTTCTAGGGGTAAGTTTTCGTTTAGGGCATTGTTTAGCTGCTGAACCAGGATCCAACCAACTTGCTGAGTTCTTGCGATTGTCAAACAGAATCCATTTTTCGCCACAGGTAAAAAGGCGGTCCGAAATTCCTTCGTTTGTGTGCCCGTTGGACAGTGCAAGGCGTCTCAACGCGCACTTTGCGCTGGCGATCAATGAATTCGTGGGGCTCCCATTTGTCAAGCTTTTTTACCTTGCCAATTTGACGTAAATGGACCAATATTGTTTTGATGCTAACGTCGAGAGCTGCTGTTAATTCAGCCGTATATTGAATGTCATCAGCTTCCACAATCGCCTTTAATTCGTCATTATCGATCAGTTTCCGGACGACCAGGGGGTTCATTTTTCAGATTGAAATTTCCAGAACGGATACAAGCAAACCAATAACAGGCGGTGCGTTCGTTTGTAGTATTCGCTCCGGAAGCGTCGTTGATGTTGCGTGCCGCTTGTGCCGCGTTGCTGCCACGACGGTACTCATATTTCATAATTACTCCAACTTTTAACGTATCCATGATGACGAAAAAGATTCAAATGCGATGAAAATCAATATACAAATGACTAATTTTGAAAAAAGAATTCCATGTGTTTAAAATAAAATTAATTCGAAACTGGAATTCTTAGCAAAACAAATATTAGTTTTGATTTGAAATGGCCAGTACTGCAGAACGGCAATTTGATAGGTAAAGACCATGAAGCAAATACAAAGAGGAGACGTTGTAATTAAATTTCACTATGTAACAACGCGTGACAATTTGCGGGGTGAGGGGACGCAAAGCCCCGCCCACTTTACACTATCTACATCTACCGATAAATAGTAAAACTACTCGAAGTGTTCCATATCGATGTTGCAATATAGTTTAGCTACCTTGACGGTAGATGGCGGCCTGTCCACAAAATGTTATAAGCTATAAAATAATATTTTGGCGATTAAAAATTCGTAATGTCTGAATGCAAAACAAATTTCAGCACCTTCATATGATTATTTTTTCATTACTGAGCTCTACGTACCTTTATATTTTTAGTTCACATGACACAAAGTGTCGCCATCTAGTGTCGAATATATTTAATTATATTTGAAAGCCGCGGCAGAGATTTTTGTAGAAGTACTTTAATAAATTAGGTGTAAAATTACTTACAAATGAAATGTAATGCCATCCATAGCATCGGAGTGTCTACCTCATGAAGCAAAAACATTCAGACAAAGAAATTTTAATCGCCAAAATATTATTTTTATGGTTTTCATAATAATTTTGTGAACAGGCCGCAATCTATCGTCAAGTAAACCTCATAAAAAATAATAAAAAGACAGGACCTTTTATTAGAATTTATTTTCTATCTCCTGGTATTGCTCTCTATCTATTCGTAAAGTTTTATTACCATCGGTTCAGCCATTCTGAAGATCAGCCCGGACAGACAGAGACAGTTTTTTAACTTGTTATGTCTCAAGAGCATGCAAATAACAGTGCTTAATAAAAGCCAGTTATATCAAATTACAGACAGACACTTCAATTTTATTTATATGTATGGATATGCTCGTCAATAATAAATAATAGGTAATTCTTTATGCCGGTACCATTGTCCGTACACGCGCACAGTCAAGTAGTACTAGCGGCGCTGCTTTGAACGGGGATCCTGCGGCGGATGCGACGGTGGCACGTAACGGAGCCCGCTGCGTGTACCGGCAACGGGGTCACAGCTTAAGATTCCGCTTAATGCAGCGGACAAGTTTTTAAAGTAATTGAATTATGGAAGAAATCATGGGAACATGGCAATGGTAGGCATATATAGTACCGAATAAAAATATTTGCTCTGTTGTCATCATTCATGGAGAACACAGAGGAATACGTTTGTATATTCTCATAAGTAACAAAGAAAATCGTAAAACACATTTCGTAAGGTTATGGATTACACAAATTTAGTTCTAAGATGTTATTGCAGAGATATTTTTTTTTAATTTATGATATATAACTTTTATTGACATAAATGACCACATGTGCTATGAAACTATTTAAACTAAACTTGTATAGTGTGGTGGCGGCATAAAAATATCCACTGTTCCATTTCATCCAGTGGGTGTCTTAAGAACGACAGACAAACTGAGACAATAGACGAGCTGCATTCCATGGCAGAGGCCTATGTTCAGCCGTGAACTTTTAATAAGCTGCAATGAATTAATGAAAATATCAAGAGTATGTAACATACGATGCAGCCGAGCCGAACCGAAAGCCGTGGTAGCTCAGGAGCTGAACACTCCCTGTAACGTTCACAGTACGCGAACAAGCCGGGTTCGATCCCCGCCGGCACCAATGAAAACGTTAATTTCAATTTTAAGTGCTGATTTACCACGTACTCGGCGGTGAACGAAAACATCGTGAGGATACCTACACGTCTGAGAAATAAAAAAAATCGAAGACATGTGAAAACCCTTTCATAAATAAGGAGAGGCCTGTGGCCAACTGTGGGACGTATGTAGGCTGTAATTTTTAATTTTTTACATACATAACTATACTGTGAATATTTTACATTTTTGTACTCAAAGATAAAAATTTAAACTAACAACATTGTACAAATATTTTAATTAAAATGTTACATATCTAAAAAAAATTCAATATTAAATTTACAAAAATAATTATTGAGGTAGAACTACAAAAATATCAACTATATGTACTTCAAAAAATACACAGTGAACTACTATATATTTACAATAATTTCTACATTGTATCTAAATTATTTATTACTCTTTTTCACGTTTTATAATAAAAATCTTTGTTCAAATTGAGCTACATTTCAAACAATTAAAAGTTCAACAAATTGTGCTACAAACAATAAAAGAATATCACTTTTTTTCATTCGCCAACGCCTGTCCTAGGGAAGCTGTCGCCACGGTTGGGTTCGCGGCCGTTACAATCTTCTCCAGCATCATGCGTGTTTGTGCCTGGAAGCAATGAGCAGATATCTAGAATGACTGACTAAAGTCGGATTATTTCATTAAATCATTATAAAACATCGGTTGAACAGAAATGTGTTCTGATTAATTGATATGGCCATGTTATGGAGGCATGTAAAAATCTTGATGACATCGGGATTTTTTATAAGATTTAAGTGACAAACGGACATCAATCTACTAGATGGTAAAAGGCTTCTGCGGTCTATGAACACCTGCAATCAACTTCAAACAAAGAAGGCTACAGATTCGTTGTCTTCTTAGAGAGCCAGGATGGATCGGGATTACATTAGTTAAGAATACACAACCTGTAGATGCTTTGTCAGCATATAGCAAAGCATAGCAACAAGTTGAAGGGGTTAATTCGGCATTTACTTTAAAAGTGAATAAAATATTGCTAAATACTGTTGCGGGCCACGATTAATACAAGGTACATGGTGACACTAGTTACCACTAGCGCCCTCTAGTATCGAGTAGCAGAACTAGGAGAGTCAAGAAAATTATAGAAATTCCCATGGAAGAACTTTTTAGAACTATCGACACCTAGTCAATCGGGACTGATATGTACTCGAACATTCTAGAAGTTTCTATAGTAGAAGGTTCTGGAAACTAGCTGAGGCCCTATATAAGATCGGTATAGACCGCGACCGGGTCAGCATTGAATTGGCGATATAAGCGAATACCTTGAAGCGATACAAGTGCGAACTAAAGTGACCTGTAGTACAATTGTGTTTTGTTATTAGTGTGGTTTTAAGTTGTAATTAGTGTTCTGTAATTAAAGTGTCAATTTTGGTAAATCACTCGGCAGTTTTTAATTGTCTCGGACACCAAGCTCGTAACAATACATTATAAAATGTTTTAGAACAAATTATGCTGACATCCATGAGAATAAATCATACAACACCCTTCGTTTCCTGTTGTTTCCAACTAACTTTAGAAATTATATTGAACATTGCAAAATACATGATAAAAATTCTCTGGAACAAATTATGCTGACGTTCATGAGAATAAGTTTTGTTCCCAGTGTTTCCAACTATATATGTTATATTTATAGTTTTATTCAATAAAAATTATATTTTTTATTGACAACGTGGATATCCATTCCTTGACTCGTTCGTATATCAGGCCTTACAAGTATAGTAAATATTTCTAATTATCACTAAAATGAGACACCATGCAATACACTGGACTTTTTATATGCCAGTGATAGTGAGGAGAATGCGGAAATCCTCATTATCAAATAACATGAAGTAATGAAAATTCTGTATCAAAATCAAAACGATTTTTTGATAATAGTGCTAATTGATTTAAAGCATTGTCTTTGATTAAAGAAGAAAACTAAAAATCTATATTCTAGGTGTTAAGGCTACTTTTCTGTCTGAGATTCGGTGTGAATAGTTACTCTCCTCCAAAGGACCGATACAGAGGAGAGACCTACGGGGTTATGCCTCCCCTACCCCAGAACTGTAGAGTGCGTAGAAAAGTGTTGTATATTAATATTAATGCTCGCGTTATCCTGCTGACCGTTGAACAAATTCGGAAAAATCGTATCATACTGGGTCATTAATATAAATAATATAATAATAATGCTTAACATTCTAGCGACGTTGCCAGTGAGTATGCAGTGAGCAACAACCAGGCACTTTCTACCAGACTGTACCAAATAACAGAAGAGCAACTTACCGGACTTGCGCTTTTTCAATAGTGCGTTACATATATATAGTACATAACGTTACAGCCAAAGACATTTAAGTAGTAGTAGTAATAGACCGGACATCAGTAGTAAAATTGTCGTCTGTAACTTATGTCCTATAGGATATATCTCCGATTTTTGTCATTTAGTCTTAGGGGCATCGTCAAAAAGTCAAGACGCATTCGTTACATATATTTAAAAAAAAATTAAAGAAAATATGCCCGGTTGTGCATTAAGATATTGTAAGTCACGATACGGAGCAAAAAATGAACGTGATTTCGGTTTATTATCGTAAATATAACATTTATTTACCGAATAATCTTTAAATTTTATTATTTCTAGTAGATTGTTCTAGAACATTTATTTTTATTGTAATAAGCGCCCTCCGTTATCCAGTAAACGTCACTATTTAGTTACTAATTTCAAAGTTAGTGATTGACGACGTTTATCGATTGGGATTATCGATAAAAAAATATAAGGCATGCCGATTTAATCCTTTACAATATTTAAGGAGGTAAAACAGTCAACGACACTGTACCCACACCAACAAAAATGAGTAGCATATACCAACTATGCTAAGTACCCTACTTTATGTGGAGCAAGTGTGAGAATTTTTTTTAAGGCATGCTGATGAGATTTTCTGGGTTGCTTATGAGCATGCTGAGGATACTTGCTATGTTGATGTTTAGCAATACAGCAAGTATTCTCTTTTACATACCAGGCTTCATTGTCTGGTAGTTTTACACCGGGCTTCATTGTCTGGTGGTTTTCAAGGACAAAGCCATTATAGATCCTCGCTTACAGTGATGGGAGAGGACAATAGATTTCTTACATTAAAAACAATTTGTACTGTTAAACATATTAGATGCTAGAAGTTGTAGGTTAAGCCTGAGTTAGAACAAAAGGTAAAAACTTAAAATAACAATTTTTATTGATGTGGGTAGTGTCTTTAAGTAGTAGTAGTAGTTGATAAAACGTGAAAAATCGTGAAACGGCATTTAAATTCAGTGTTTTCCTAAAATATTTTAGGTTTGAAGTGTATTTTTGTAATATAAACGAATTTAAAAACATAGAGGCGCTCTCTTATTGGATTTGGCATTTCTCGATATGTATTTAACGCTGACCGATCAATCATATGCTATTATTATAGCAGCTAATGGACCGAGTGACGTCATGCCACCAAGGTGGCAACCAAAGTGACTGCTGTTTGAATTGATTCTTAGTTCATCATCATTACAGCCTTTCATAAGTCCACTGCTGAACATAGGCCTCCCCCAAGGAATGCAACAAAGCACGGTCCTGAGCCACCTGCATCCATCGACTTCCTGCATGTCTTACCAGGTCGTCACTCCATCTCGTGGGGGGTCGCCCTACACTTCGCCTACCGGTACGAGGCTGCCACTCGAGCACCTTTCTTCCCCATCGGTTATCGGTTCTTCGAGTTATATGACCAGCCCACTGCCACTTTAGCTTACTAATCCGTTGGCCTATGTCGGTTATTCTGGTTCTACTGCGGATATACTCATTTCTAAGTTTATCACGCAGAGAAACTCCGAGCATAGCCCTCTCCATAGCTCGCTGAGCGACCTTGAGCTTCCTCATACGGCCAGCAGTGAAGGACCACGTCTCAGTTCCGTAAGTAATCACTGGTAACACGCACTGGTTGTACAATTTCGTTTTATGGTTTTGAAGTATGTCTGACGAGAAGATGTGTCGTAGCTTTCCGAACGCTGCCCAGCCGAGTTGAATCCGTCGATTGACCTGTCGGTCGAAGTTGGACTTACCTAGTCGGACTATTTGTCCCAGGTAAACATACTCGTCAACAACTTCGAGCTTAGTGCTCCCAACAACTACCGGCATAGAAGTGACATGGACATTAAACATAATCTTTGTTTTGTCCATGTTCATCTTAAGACCTATCCGTTGGGAGACACTATTGAGGTCATTGAGCATAGTGCTTAGGTCCTCCAGCGATTCTGCCATAAGGACTATATCGTCGGCAAATCGGAGGTGAGTGATGTACTCGCCATTGATGTTAATACCGTATCATTTCCAGTCCAGAAGCTTGAAAACGTCTTCCAATGCAGTGGTGAAGAGTTTCGGGGATATAACATCACCCTATCTTACACCTGTCTGCAATTGGATAGGTTTCGTACTCTGATTCTGTACTCGGATAACCATCGTAGCTCTACTGTACAAACACTTCAGCACTTCGATATACCGACAGTCAACTTGGCACCGCTGAAGGGACTGCAGCACCGCCCAAATTTCGACGGAATCAAAGGCTTTCTCATAGTCCACATACGCCAGACATAGTGGCAAATTGTACTCTTCGGACTTCTGTACAATTTGCCGAAGGGTATGTATGTGGTCTATGGTGCTAAAGCCCTTTCGGAAACCGGCTTGTTCGGGAGGCTGGAAGTCGTCAAGTCTGCGAGCGAGACGATTCGTAATGCCTCTCGAAAACAGCACGTAGACGCGGCTCAGAAGGGAAATCGGTCTGTAGTTCTTCAAGAGAGCGTTGTCACCTTTCTTGAAGAACAAGACCACCGCACTTCTGCTCCACGCCTCCGGTGTAATACCACCATGGAGGACGGAATTAAAGAGTTTCTGAAGGACTTCAAGTACCGGTCTTCCACCCGCTTTCAGAAGCTCCGCTGTAATTCCATCCTCGCCTGGGGCCTTGCCGTTTTTAAGGTGCTGGAGAGCCATTCTAATCTCGCTCAGACTGACGTCCAGGATATCTTCGGAATAGTGTCGGATGAGACTCGCTCTTGGATCGTTACTCACACTTGTGTGTGGCTTCAACGATGACGTGTACAGCTGCCGATAGAACCTCTCAATCTCACTCAAAATCTCAGGTGTCCCGGAAACGATGCTGCCACATTCGGTCTTCAGCTTTGACAGTTGGCACTTTCTGGCACACAGATCTCTGGCAAAGACTTTGGAGCCTTGGTTCCGCTCGATCGCTTCTTCAATACAAGCTGTATTGAAGTTGCGTAAGTCCCGCCGCATGCATTTGGAGATCTGTCTGTTCCTGTCTGTGCCTGTATGCTGTCAAATCTGTTGAAGAATGTAGCTTCATCTCCCGTCTAACAGCCATGAGATTAAGAGTGTGATCGGAGAGTTTTTGTGTTCTTCTGCGGCGGGTTTTGCAGAACTTAGCTCCGACCGCATGGACAGTTTCCACGAGCTTGTCATTCATATCGTCCACTTCATTGCAGTCTTCTAGGCACTGAAAACGGTTTTGTAACTCGAGCTGAAAGGTTTCAGGACTTTGGAACAGAGCACGAGGGGGACGGAGCGTTGACTTCATTAGGCGCGACCTCTCCAACTTAACGTTTAGGTTCAGTGTGCCTCTAACCATTCGGTGATCGCTACCAGTTTTCACCCTCGCGATCACGGAGACATCACTGAACAGTTGTCGTCTGGTCGTCATAATGAAGTCAATCTCATTTTTTGTCGAACCGTCGGGGCTCGACCAGGTCCACTTCCTGTGGGGCCGCTTCTGGAAGAAAGAGTTCATCATAAAGAGTCCCTCTTTCTCCATGAAGTCGGCCAGCTGCTGGCCCCTTGGGTTCCGGTGCCCTATTCCAAATTTCCCTACTTTCAGCTCACCGTTCTCTCTTGTGCCTAGTTTTGCATTGAAGTCCCCCATTAACACCGTATATTGGGTTTTGGAGGAATGCATGGCTCTAAAGATATCCTCATACATTTCCTCCACCTCCTCATCGGGGTGTGCCGAGGTTGGTGCGTAAACCTGTATGACCTTCAGCGAATACCGTTTGGTGATTCTGAGTATAAGGTACGCAACCCTCGTCGACACAGTCCCGATCTTTACAACGTTGTTAACGAGAGACTTGTGGACGATAAATCCGACATCTCCTTGGGACAGATGGTCGCCCTCCCGGTGATAGAGCAAGTTGCCGGATTCGAGGATTACCGTGTCCTCCCCCTCTCTTCGGACTTCGGATAATCCTATAATATGCCAGCGCAACTTGTCGATCTCTTCTTCCAGCTCCACGATCTTCTCGTCAGTCCTCAGGGTGCGTGCGTTGTACGTTGCCAGGTCGAGTCGTCTAAGGTCGCAACCGAACCTCCACCGGAGATTCTTAGCAGCCCCTTAGATTCTTAGTTATTGGAAATTAAATATTTTATTTCATGACACTAAAGGGGCGTAAAAAGTTAATATGATTTTTTTTCGTGTGATGGAAGTCATGCTAAATATATATATACAATAAAACAATCATGTATATTTCCTATTATTATATCGAAAAGCATTTCAAACTTAGTAATATTCAACAACATTATCGATACTTTGATATAGAAACGGTAACATTCCTAAAACGAGGTTAATTTTTATTAGCGTCACCTACTGGGGAATAGCTAAATTGTTGTCTTAATAAATGCTTAGCGTTGTTTTGCTATTTTTAGCTAGAGGGTCCACACGCGCACTAGCTCAAAGTTTTTGTATATAAATGTTCCCAATGTCCGCTCTATAGTATACTTATATATTTAAATCTCTTTGGTTACAGCTAAAGAAAACTAGGTTTGATTTTGTTTAAATATCAAAAAAAAAATTTTAAGTTATTTTTTGTAATTGTGTCTCGGATTTTTTGCTACTTATACTCCTACTTTAAACTCTTCTGAAAATCTTGAGCCGAGATCCGTGTCCCTCAAAATTCATATCCTGGATCTCCTCTTATACAGCTAACAGTAAACCGTTAAGCAGTGATACACTCGTTATTGTATTCCGATTTTAAGTCTACGAAGAGCAATTATAGTCACAGTTCCCTAAGATTTGGGGCTCTTTCTCTACCTAGGTTTGTCTGGGTAGGTACCGGTAGGGTGGTGCGGGTGGTTTTACCTAAGTCTGCCATCAAACAGCAGTGCTTTCACTTACACTTACAATATAATTACAAGCTGTGAGGCATTCCATCTAAGTCCTTACAGGTGACAATGCATCTGTAGATTTCTTTGTTTTAAGTTGGTTGCAGGTGTACATGGGCTGCAGTAGCCACTCACCAGCAGGTAAGCTGTAAGTTCGTTTATTTTAAAACTTCTCTTCAGTTTCATACAAAATAATATCCAGAAGAAAAATTTTATTAAATTTGGATTGGAGATGGTGATTTTTTTGAATATTTCAGTTCAAATATATAAATAACGATATACCGTTATTGCAGCTTTTGAAAACACGAGTAAATAAGGCTTCTACTTTTATTTGAAATTATTTAATGTTATTTATGAGCAATAACTACGCGTATGCGCACTCCTCTGTGTGCGATTCAATTCATAACGTTTTTGCCGACCGATCAACCCTTACGAATGTGTGCGTGCGTAGTAGAATCAGTTAAAATAATGCTACCACGCGTATTGAATTTAAAATATAAAAGGATAGAATGTTTGAGATTTCTTTAATTAATTTTTCTTCATCATTTTCCTATATTACTTTTTTTATAGGATTGGGTGACAAACGAGCACACAGTCCACCTTATGGTAAGTCACCCGTGAGGACTAAGATGGAATGTCTCTTTTCCAGTAAAAAGGGTCTCCGGTTCTGCTGCTACATATTTGACGCTGGTATTCTGTGAGAGCATGATCCTTCCCCGGTCGAGCCGACACATGCGTGCTACAACTATACTACTAATATAGCTGCAGCATGGCTCTACCACGTACAAAACTACTTACTACAAATACTATATATATATATATATATATATATATATATATATATATATACATATATATATATATATATATATACATATATATATATATATATATATATGTGTGTGTGTGTGTATATATACAGGCTGTCCCAGTAATGGTGGATAATCTGGTACGTACGTGTTCGGGCAGCTTAGAATTCGTCCAAACAAGGCGAGCAGGTAGTAAAGTAAAATTTTCGAAGGCGACAAATGTACCTAATAAAGACATGCAATTAAAAAAAAACTATCTGCCCAATAATTTTGTAATTTTGTAATGAAATGCCTGCTTTTACACATTAACGGCTATAGCTCAGTAAGTAATGACATTAAGTACATGGTATGCTAATGTTTTAGAATCCTTATAATATAGGCTATCAAACTTAGCAGTTAAAGTAAAAAATTTAAACTTATGTTTAGTGCTGTCTTGTAAAATACTACCCACAGTAGTTGAAAACTTTTAAGGGTAATTTAGAAACATCATTATTACGGAACACATTAAAAGAAAAAAATCCGATCTAGGCATTAAACTGCGGACATAATGACCACAAATGTGAGCAGAAGTATGAATTTTCGGAATTTTATAAAACATGGCGTAGACCGCGAACCGTTCGGGATAGAATTTTTTTTAGGGAACCGAGGCCACCTCCCCCCTGCCCGAACACGTACGTACCAGATTATCCACCATTACTGGGACATCCTGTAATATATACAAAACTAACGTACTTATTCTAAATATTATGTGCAAATTTGGCCGGTTATTGCAAAATAACCATATGTACATATTTTTGGCGTAATTATTATAATAATAAAAAATCACAATTCCGAGATCCTCTAAAATAATGAGGAATCATTCCATTCTTTTGAAATCATTGAGTTATATGTACTACGTACTAGAGAAGCTATTCCAAACAAAAATTGTGCGCTACTCTATGTCTTCGCGCTTGCGCGGGAGATAGTACTCGCGTATGCGCGAAGACTTTAATTTATTATTTAATATAAAATAAGATATTAATATAAAATAAATATAAGAATTTAATATAAAATACTCTTATTTTAACCTAAACTAACATATTTCTACATAAAATGTAATAATGATTATCTTATGGAATTCACATATTTTCAATTTACGCAATATTTGATTTAGTGTACGGATTGCAGTACAGTTCAGTTGAACATAGTCAATGTTCTGAGTGGGAAATCTATTGCATAGTACATATTATCTATCGATGTTTGGAATAGTATTCTTAGGCAAATGCTAGGAAAAATAAAAAATAAAATTTACCTCGTTGTTCTTGCCCTGAGCTGAAGCACGCACTTTGTCCAGTTCTTCAGCAAGCATCTTAGACTTTTCACGTATTTGTCGCCGATGCGCAAGATATGCATTTCTGAAATTATAATTCTTTACGTCATATACTCCTATAATACAATTGCCATTTGTAACTTTCAATATTAATTCGTTTTATTGTGATTTAAATTTTGAATATGAACATTTTTTTTTCGTTCTAAAAATCTGTTCTGTCTGTTAAATGAAATGAAACTAATTTTTAACATAACAAATTTAAAGCCATTTATAGGTTCTGATTTCTAACTAAAATTATTCTGAATTCCATTCAATAAAGTTAATTTTAAAATACAATTAAAGCAATTAGTTAAATTGTCATCAGCCCTAAAGAGCCCTCATTCTCTCTACCTCACCGCATCGCACCATTACAATATTACAACCTACATACCTAATGAGACCACAATACCTGAATCTAATCTACACCAAAACATGACATAACAGGTATATAATTTACTAATACAATATTTACTACTTGTATGTAAGAATGTGTTAATTACTTTTGTATATTTATACATAAAAATGAGATTGTTCACCAACTTGCATTAATGCAATGTGCAAGAATCTTCTGTTCAGTCTACTCTGTTAGCCTTAAACATCATCATTATCATAATTACAGCTCATCACAAGTCCACAATTAAACATGGCTCTGGCCAAAGATTGCTCAAAGCCCTTAGTTGTTAGTTTTTGTTATGGAAAACTTTAAGCTTACATGGAAGACAAATATAGGATAAAAAACTGACTGACTGACTATAGATTTTTCTAAATAGTCTATGTATTTATTAAGTAATTAATTATAATAACAATGTATCTGTAGCTTTCTTTATTTAAATTTTTTTTCTTTATTTGTATGTTAGTTCATTTGTCACTTCAATTAAAAAAAAAATGTTGCCATGTGATGGCAGTGTAAAAGAATATTACTATTTCAACCACAAGGCGACAGTGAAAAAGGCTAGAAAGACCTCATTATCTTTGATTGTTGGTGATATACTACCAAATGTATATTATAGCATACATACGCAGACTGGCGACGACAAAGAGCAGTGCCAAAGGGAGGTAGTATGATTATTTTTTTATTTTATTATAGGTTATTTTGTTAATTTTATTTTTAAGCATATAATATAAATACAGATATGGTATAACTCCATGGTAAATTAATTTATTTTGCTGTTTATTTTATCATATAATAACAATTGAATTACTTTGTATTTAATAACCCAATTATCTTTAACTTTATAACTTTTATATTTTGTGAAGAACAGTGTTGTTTTCCTCCTACACATACCTGATAACAACAACTTGTAAAATCACTCCCACGATGGCAATTCCAAAACATAGCATTATAATAGCCGTATTTGGTAATTTGCTTACACCTTTCACTCCATAATATGAATTTGACTTGTTACCAGTTGACCTATTCTCTTGGTAGAATCCATATTGAGGATTATTACGTAAGCTGAAATAGATCAAAGGCATTGGATATTAGAAAAATGTTTTATTTTTAATTAATTTTGCAAAACTCCTGCTTACCTTCAGGTGGACTGTTAGTTTGCTTCTAACTTCAATTTTCTTAAAAGTTTTTACATGGTAGATCCACGCTGCAGCTATATATGGCTTAGGCACGAACGGGTCAGCCTGACCAAGGTAGGACGACGCTCTCACCGAAATTCATATGGTGACTGTAGAGAACTGCAGGCTGTTAGTATTGGTAACAAGGCATTCCATCTTAATCCTCAGGTCTAACAGCGCATCTGCATTTTGATTCTGAATCGAGGATAAACAATGATGTCTGTGGGCCAGAGTATATACACTTACCATGAGGTGGACTATGTGCTTGTTTGTCAACCTTATTCTATGAAATAAAAACACTAAATAGAAAAAAGTAATTAAAGGTGCATTGTCAGCCTTTAACAAGCATTTGAATTTCATTTAGACATAATAATAGCCAAAATATATAACTTACTTGTATGGTACATGGGGTCTATAAGAATATGAGGCACTATTTATTTCTATTTCAATCATGCTATCATACTGAGCTCTAGTACTTGGCTTGCCGAGTACATTATAAGCTTCCTGTACCTGCACAAACTGCTCCTGAGCTCTAGCATTTTTATTCATATCAGGATGGTACTGAAAATCCCAGTTCCACATTCATTTACTGTTATATCAAAGTAATATAAAATAAAAAGTTTCAAAAGGCGAAGATTATATCTGTCACTTAAGATATTTATTTTCTCAAAATACAATGCATTCACTTACATGAAGAACTTAACAGACAAAAAATTAATTTTTAACATATCACTACATTTGTTGGCAGATCTATGAAATACTGTTTGAATCAAAAGTGAGCGAAAGATTGCATCACTCTAGCGGAACATCATATCAATGGTGGCAAGGTGGAATTGAGGGTATATCTAGAAACTCCCTGAACTACACTGAATTTTATACTGCATTCGTTTGTGTAGTATAAAATTCAGTGTAGGTGCCAAGGTACGAGGTGCAGTCACACACTACGCAGATACAATGAGATATCTATACCTGAGCACATATATTTCCATATAGCTCACTATGAAATTTAATAAACTAACACACACAGTGCAAATAATTTATATTTTATTAAGTATCTGTAAGCACCGACATATTATATCGAAAGAAAGTGACAGATCTGCAGAAACAAATATATCTGCAGATAACATCTGCAGAAAAAAGTATATCTGCAGAAAAAAGTATATCTGCAGATAACACAATAAACGTCTTTCTGCCGACTCATTATAGTTAACACTCTATAGGAATAATCCACTCCAAAATATATGTCTAGTAAATTTGAAGGATTTCGAATGAATGTATAATTTTTTATTTCATATATTATTATATCTGTTTAGTGAGTAACACGCTTTATCCTGGTGTATTTGCGAGATAAAAAGTGGGATTGGATCTCCTGTTTCATATTTTTGACATTAGAACTAGGATCTTGTAATGAATTTCCAACATGTTAAATATTTAAAAATAAATACTCTTGCCATGTAGTAGTGATATAAAGAATTAAAACGGTTACAATTTCGAAACTAAATTTATATCCATATTATTGCTCATATTAATTCCTCTATCATCTTATCAAATTATAGAAATGCATTTAAAAATAAATTATGCCTTGCCATGCCATACATACATCTATCCACACAAAATACACACAAGTCAAATTTAATAATAAATTTTATATAATATATATCATCATAAATAATAATAAATTTAGTTATTTGCATGGTCTTAATTAATTAAGCAATAAAACTACCAATTTTGAATGGGAAGCAAGGATTTAAAATATTTACTTAAGTGTCTTAAATTTTTTTTAATGTAATAAGACAAATGAGTATCCAGTCATTTGTCACATTCAGCACATTTATCCTCAATTAAGAATCAAAATGCAGATGGGTTGTCACTTCTGAGCACTGAGATGGAATGCTTTGTTTCCAGTAAAAAAGATCTTCGGTTCTCTCACCATGCGAAACACAGCAGCATTAAGCAGCTGTTTTACGCTGGTATTTAGGTTTGTGTAAAATTGGATTCTTAAGTAATTTTTATTAATTACAAACTATAATTTGTTTTTCGTCTTTCTAGGTGTTTCATAAATAACTTACTGACCTCTTTACTGAGTTTGATGTAGGCGTCCTTAATATCTTTGTCAGAACAGTTCTTACGTAAATTGAGGACATCATAATGAGATTTTTTTGCGAAGCTGAAAATAAAAACGATAACAACAGCACAAAGACATGTATTTTAATAAATTTATACGATGGCAATTACCTGTAAAACCGAGTGCATATGCATATTGATTTATAGTCAGGATACCGTTTTATAAAGAACATAACGAATTTTAATTCTTAAATCCAAAAAAGTTTAATTAAATCATATTAATTACTGTACTATTTGATAACTTTCATATTCTGTTTCTGTTTTCGTTTCGTCAACATATGTTTTAAGCAGCGTTGCCAACACAAATTTGTCAAATTCCAAATTCCCCAATTTAAGGACAAAACATCAACAGATTCCCCACAAATCCCATCAATTTAATTTTAAGAAATGAAACAATTTTCAATAGTAATTTTATAAGATTTATTTTTTAACTAACATTTTTACGCCGATGATCAAGTCATATTTGCATCGTCGGCGGTCGAGTTGCAAATGATGGTTACGCAAGGATGAAAGTGAACGCAAGTAAGACGAAAGTGTTGGTTTTTGAAAGAGAAGAAAGTAAAACTTTATGTGAAATAAGAATAGAAGGGGAGTTGATTGAGCAAGTGCATGAGTTTGTATATTTGGGATGTTTATTTGGCAGTGATGGTAGATATGATAAGGATATAGAACGACGAGTGTACGCAGGAAATAGAGTGAATGGGGCTCTACACGCTATTATGAGGAGTCAGAATGTGTCAAATAAGGCACGTATGGCAATTCATAATGTTGTATTAGTCCCTACTTTAATGTATGGTAGTGAAAGTTGGGTCTGGCAGAAAAAGCATGAGAGTAGAATAAATGCTGTAGAAATTCGGTCCTTAAGGAGTATGCTAGGGCTGAATCTGAATGACAGGGTGAGCAATAGTGTGATAAGAGAAAAGTGTGGTTTGCAAGATGACGTTGTGACAAGGATTAAGAAAGAAATGCTTCGGTGGTTTGGTCATGTAGAAAGAATGAACGAGGAAAGAGTGACAAACCAAATTTATGTTGCAGAAGTGAACGGCAGAGTCGGGAAGGGACGCCCTAGCCGAAGAACCAAAGAAAAAAAAGAACCAAATTTGCGATACAAGGAGTATCCTTAACCGACGAGCGTGTATGCGTAGATGTAAAGATGTAAAGGATGTAAAGGAGGCGAGAGAGGTGTGTCAGCATCGCGCCAAATGGAAGTCCGTAGTCTCTGCCTACCCCTCTGGGTGACAGGCGTGTGTGTTTATGTTTTTATGCTAACATTTTTTTGTTATTTACCGAAAAATTTTTTTCACACTCCATATTTTTGAAACAAGCATTATACTCCATGGAGTATTTTTATTCATTTCCTTGTGGTCATTAAAAAGTACTACAGTATCTGCATTTGTATGCGTGCAGTTCTCTGCTTTAAAATTAAAAATAAAGAAATGAAAAGCATTAAATAATACACCAAACTTGCTTAAATAAATCCGAAAATTAAATGCAATGAAGATAATTTAAAAAAGGGAGTCATTTCATAAGCAGCATCGTCAATTCTTAAGTAACCTAACAAACATTTTAAGATAAGTATTAAGGTTTCTTGAAAAAAAGTTTTGACTTGGCCCGGGCTATAGATTTTCAAAATTCCCGCATTTTCCTCGCATAATACCAATCCCCAAAAAATCCCCAACCAAATTTAAATTTCCCGTAATTTGGGGAATTTCCCACATGTTGGCAACGCTGGTTATATGTTATGTTCAAGTCAAATTTTAACGTCATACTGACAGATAGCGATTTTTCCTAAGGTGCTGTCCTTGTACGGTTGTACTTTTGCCTGTATCAAGTATTATAAAATTATCTTTATTTGCTTAAAAACTTCACCTTATATGTTATATGTCGACACGTCACATTGGGAAGTTTTAGGGTTTGACAGCAGCTTGAGCCAGCAAACAGTCGATAACTATAGTATCTCCAGGCGCCAGCAGACACGCTTCCGCCTCTTATTTAGTATTAGCTGTTGCCCGCGTGGAATTTTTTTGCGCAGAACCCCAAAATAAAAGTAGCCTAAGTTATTCCTTATAATATCAGCTATTTGCTAGTGAAAGTCCCATCCAAATCGGTGCACAAGTTTTTGTGTGATGCGTGTTCACGCCAAAATAGCTCGCAGATGACTAATTTTTTCAGACTCAGTTAACATTTATTGTTATATTTTGGCGAATTTACACAATATTTTTATGAATTACAACTTATTCGTTATTCTCATGTATGAGCTATATTACTGTAAAGTTTCATTAAAATCCATTCAGTAGTGTTTGCGTGAAAGAGTAACAAACATCCATACATCTTCACAAACTTTCACATTTATACTCGTAATATTACTAAGGTTGGAATAGTGCCCAAATTTTGAAGTTAGAGAATAGTAGTTTGTGCCGACCTCATTAATTATCACCTGATTTCAATTACTTTGATACTCTGTAAAATTATGGAGTGTATAATGAACCTCATGGCATACCTAGATCAGAAAGATCTTCTCATCAACCGCCAGAACAGATTTCTTCAAGATCGGTCAACTCTTCCACCTTCCAACATACGCCACTTACATATGGGGCGAAACCATTGAAAACGGTGGGAAAGCACTTACGTGGCTTTCCTTTTTATATATAAAATAATATCTTTGTATTACACCTTTGATTTACTCCTTATTCTCTAGTTCTTTATTATTATTATTTCTATATTATTGTTTGCTTTTTTGTTTAATTTAAATAAATTTTGTAAAAAATTAATTTTACCATATCTATAAACAAGGAGTGAATGTCCTGTTTCATGATTTCTATGTATATTTTTTTTGGTTTTTTTTTCTGTTTGTATGACTACTAAATGTTATGTGTTTTATATAGTCCGCTCGAGTATGTTGCATTTGCCAAATAAAATCTGTTTCTTTCTTTCTTTCTAAAAAGTTAAAAGACCTAAAAAGTGGAAAACTTAATTTAGGCGTGGAGAACTGAAACCAATAAAGTGGAAACATTGCTACCAGTGTCACTGTCACTGACGTAAGAGTAGGTATGCTCAGTTTGCGTATGTAGTATACCTACTATATCTTTGGTAGGCAGCTAACTTGAAAAATTATATACTTATATAAGTAAGTAGAATCCACTAGTTAGTCTGTGTAAGTAGGTTACCGAGTTGGGTTTGGTTGGCAGCTTGGCATTGGTATTTGGCATTTTAATTTATGAACAAACATTGCAGTAATATATTTAAATTGTGTTATGTGTCTATGATAGTATGTTGTTTCTATTATATTATACTAAATTCATTGCCTAAATACCTATACTAATAAGATATTAAAAATATTAGACGTAGATTGAAATAGAACCCTGGTAGCTCAAGGGCTTAATGCTCGGTGTAAATTTCACAGTACCTACGTGAGGAACCCGACTTCGATCCCCACCGGCACCAATGAAATTGTTAATTGTAATTTTAAGTGCTGATTTACCACCTGCTCGGCGGTGAATGTAAATATCGTGAGGAAACCTGCATGTCTAAGAAATAAAAAAAGTATTTCGAAGACATGATGTAAAGTCCGCCAACACGCATTGGGGCAGCGCGGTGGACACTTCCTTGCCTCATGAAACCGTCTCAGAAGTGAGAAGAGGTCTGTGCCCATCTGTGGGACGTATTATAGGCTCTAACTCATTGATATCTCTAACTTTTAATTAGACGTAGGTAGTGAAGTAATATGTATACATAAGTACATGTATTTCTTAAATGGACGTAGTATACGGATAAATAAATGTGGCAAAGTATAGGTAAAAATTTTATTGTTTTTCAATAAGACAATTTAAAACGCTAATCGTTTGTCGTTACAAACGTATTACAAAAACCACTGATATTAATAGGTTAGTTATAATAATTAATAATTATTACATTATATTATTAAGTACATTTAAGTTGTTCAATGCTGGATGCAGGTGTTTTCTTATAAAAATGAAACTAATACTCTTGTAGGTATATCTGTAAACTGTAAATATATACATTATTCCTATCGTAAAATAAAATATTTGTGCCATAAATATGTAAATATGTACTATATACTAACCATCATAATAATATGATTATATCAGTCATATAATCATATTATTATGATGGTTATTTTGAATCGTTTGCTTTAAAGCAAAGACAAAAAATTGTGTTGAATTATTGTAGTATACATTATGCATGAAGTTCAGTATTCAGTCTCTTTTTACATTACTCTATGCATAAAATTATGAACATAATACAATATATTATAGCTTGCCACACATTTATTTATTTATGATAATGATAATATACCGGCACGCGACGATACACAAAGTATAGATACAATACACTAAAGTGGAATTGGCAACCGGCTGGCAATGGCAAAATGGCAATCAACTAGCGACACAGTTGGCACAACGAAGCGCAGTAGTACCAGATCGACTAGTATACGCGCGATAGCCGGCGTAAGCAGTCGTACGGTCATGCGAGAAGCGGGTGGCAGGATGGCCGAACTCGAGTTCGAGGCACCGCTCGCACAGATAGAAGATGCTGATGATTGTCTGTCATCGGCTGACTATCCACAGAAAACTATTAACGGAAATGATTTACATCTGAACAATATAAACCATTTGAAAAGTGAAATGACCAAAATGAAAACTGACTCCAATAAAATAAATGACAACGACGAATCGAGACCGGTGAAGTGCAAACAGGATAATATGCAAAACGTCGAAGGAGATAATTTTACGGAGACATTCTCTGGTTCACTGGAAGATCTAGTGAACACCTTCGATGAAAAGATTACGAAGTGCTTCGGAAACTATGAGGAGAGTGTTGAAAAATTTGCGCCAGTCCAGGTTCGCTCCCAGGAAGAGATAATGAACGAGTGCCAGTGAGTATCAGTTAAGGTCTAATAAGCTAATTAATTACGGATTTAAAAGTGACATCATACGTTAAATCTATTATTATTATTATTAGTATTTATATTAAAAATTAAAACAATCATATTGAAATTGGAAAACCTTTGTCATTTTGTAATTTTTTAATATAAGAATAGAGAAATGTATAATTTATTATATAAATAAAAAGGGCGGGCTTTGCGCATGGCGCTAGAGGTTTCGGGATCGATTTTCGTATGAGGCGAGGGTGTTGGGGGTGCGTTATTGAGGGTGGTCGCTATGACGCATCGCATCACCCGCCCCACTTGGTTTTTTTGTTTCCTACCCAAAATTTATGGACATAATATTACGTTTATGTCATATTATGTAGCAATTTTGGGGTAACATTTTTAAAGACAGAATTATGTCACTCTAATAATAATATTTATAACTACCTGCCAAGGACTTCTATATATAGCTGGTTTTATTATGCTACAATACATTCTAGGTAATATGAACCCATAATTATGAGATGATGGTAACTACCTATGCATTTTCTCATAATTAAACGATCTTGTTCACAAGCTAGTTTCCCATTTACTATACTATAATATGTATCTGATGTATGGTAAAAGTTAAGACTTTCTTTTAATTTACCATTGTTTTATACAGGCAAAAGGTTTTTGTTAGAATTTCCATCTTTGTAGTCCGATGAGAGAACTGATTCATTGCGCCCAGTATTCTTTTCAATTGTTCTCCCACAAGCCACAAGCTTTTTTAATGATGGTGACCGCTCTGATATACGTTTCGTATAATTTAACTAAAACTGTTTTCGTAATTGCATCGCATCAAATCAGGTAATAGTCATGTAACAAATTAAACTGTCTATATTATTATCGATAATCTTCTAGTTGCGCACAATAACCCACTAATAAACACATATTATATCGAAAGTATTCAATTAAATCTTAATGATTTAACTAGGTATTCGAATATAGTACGGCAAGGTATGTCCATGTGAACAACTTCAAATTAGCTTTTCCACCGAAATAAGATATCATGACATGGGACCGCTGCACTGATATATCCGCTTATTTTCTGTTGCTTCTCTGACTTTTATATTGATTTAACCAATAGTTTTGTAAACATAACTTCGCCCATCACGTGTGAAGCAGATCTTTTGGATGCGGTCCAGGTGACCCAAATGCCTGGATGTCGGGAAAAACTGGGAAAAATCAATAAAATTTTATAATTTGCGAACAACGGCAGATTGCGATTTGATTGTTTATTAAGAAATTGAATAACCTAAATTAAAAAAAAAAGTTATTATGGTTTTATTATTAATTAAGTTTTAATAAATGAGTAGGCATTGAATCAAGTAAAATGTTAGTTTTGTTTTGAAATTGTATTTTGATGCCTTCAGCTTTGCTTGGATTTAAAAGAGGTGTGAAATTCGTGAACAGAAATAGTCGTAAATGTCGAAACGTTGACAAATATTCACTAAAACCCAAAATACACGTACCAAAAGATATACCCGTTAAACATCATGCGAAATACATAGCCATATTCCAAAGGTTTTATTTTCGCAACGCACCTGTCAATGGAACAACATGTGCCTGCGTAGATTTCGCCGTGATTCCAGTGCAGGAAGCAAAAACGCAGATGCTACGACCACCTTGCCCTGCAAATTACACCTTGCCGAATATTGGATATCCAACATATGGCGGCCCAGTTAAATTTGGATTTATAGATCCCTTAAAAAATTGCTTTAACCCTCATATTCAATTTTATATTAAAATGCACAAAACAGGTTAAGAAAATGATAGTGCCACATAATTGGTTTTCAAGTTTATTGTTCCTTGATAAAAAGACATTGATGGTTCCGCTATTTAAACTCTACCAACATTTAGTTGTAGCTTTAGGCATACATACCTACTTGAAACCAATTCCTATTATAATCAAAACAATATAATGTAAAATAATCAAAATCAAATGTGTTAATATATTATAATTAGCACGATGAACACTCGTCAATTTCAAATCTAATAACCTTTAAAGTGAGAGCTAGGTATATATTAATTTTTAAAGACTTCTTTACATTATTAATGTTTTAGCGTAATCAAAGAAACGAAGTCATAAATACGTGCAGCCGACGCCCTTAGAAAATAACTTTCGTTCTGCTGATTACAAATCTGTTAAAATAATGATGTATGTACATATATAAATCAAACTAGTAATCTATATTTCAATGTTTACGTCTGCTTAGACACTTCAGGAATGAAAAGTAGAACTAGGAAATATCATTAATAGTTGAAATTTTCTCCTTAGAAACTTCAGGATTGAAAAGTAGAACTAGGAAATATCATTAATAGTTGCAGTTTTCTTTTTTTAGCGCATAAAATACTAATATAAATTGTTCGATAACAGAAATGTAATCTGTGGGAGACTCATTTGATATTCACGATGAGGCTTTGTTTGGAGCGTCGCACACGACTCACGTCCGTCTTGATGCATTTCGTGTATGAATAATGAATGACGAGTACGAGTATTAGCGTCACTAAATATGCTTTTGCGAGTGAACTCATTAATTTGTTTTTATAATTTTCATTTGTCTTTTGTAGTATTTTTTTTCAATTTACACTTAGAAACTGGCTAACAGTCTAACTGACGATTGGCTGCTTTTACAGCCACTAGACACTCAAAAGAAATTTCAATAGAGGCTCATCCTATTTATCGAGAGTAGCTCATAATGCCTTTGGGAGACTATTTCATACGATAGAGTAGCGAGACACCTCTCTTTCGTATTATGAAGGTTTTAGAGATTTAGTATGATTACAGGCTGAGGCATTTCACCTGAGTCCTCAGAGGTGTCAAGTGACAACGCATATGTAGCCAGCCTTCTTTGTTTGTAGTTGTTACAGGTATCAGGTGGTATAGGGTCGCAATACTATTGAGTCAATCGCCGGTCTGAATATTCATATAATATTCAGACCGGCACTTGCTTTAGGCAAATTATTTAAAAACACTTATCAGGCAAATCATTAAATATATGTACATGGTAGAGTCAAGCTGCAGCTATGTTATGATTGTAGCACGAATGGGTCAGCTCGACCGGTGTGGGACCACGCTATCACAGAATACCAGCGTAGCAGTTTAATGCTGATGTGTTTCGTATGATGAGTGTAGATTACCGGAAACCATTTTTACTGGAAACGAGGAATTCTGAATAACGAGACATCTGCATTTGGATTCTTAATCGAGAATAAATGTAGATGTCTATCGGCCGCAGCATCCACTTACAATCAGGTGGACTATGTGCTCGTTTACACCCTTCCTCTATTATAAAAAAAAATTACAACAAATATCCATGTCCATCATCCACATCACATCCCATCAAAGTCCACTGTTGAACAAAGACCTCCCACACAGGGGATATTTGCCATAGCGGAGTACACAGCTGATGATCTTCTGGTCTACCTGACCCATAGATGGGCAGAGGCAGTGGAGTCCAAGGGGGAGGCGTTGGCCGTTAGTTTGGACATTGCGAAGGCCTTCGATCGGGTTTGGCACAAAGCGCTTCTTTCGAAGCTCCCTTCCTATGGGCTTCCCGAGAAATTGTGCGATTGGATCACCAGCTTCTATATTATTTTCTTCTCATCTCTTGTTTCAGATTCATTAATAATTCATTAACCGTAATTCATTCACCACAGCCTATCAAAACATCCCCCATAGATTTCCTCACCCCTGAGGAAATCTATGGGGGATGTTTTGATAGGGGGGGGGGGGAGATATTTGCCATAGTTGCCACGCTAGATAGGCGGATTGGCAACCTCAGTTTTTATTTTTTAATTGTTACAAGGAAGACTGCTGGCCCATCTCCTATTTTTTTTCTCTCCAGCGCCTCTTACGACACCCACGGGATATTGATATATGGGATAGTGGATTCTCTTACGCCGTCTCACCACAGCAATGTCCACCAGTGTATTTTTTTAGCTTATGAAGTATAGAGTTAGAAGATAGTTCTGTGGACTTTATTATATACAAGACTACTATTGCCAGTTACCACAGAACACAGAATACTTAGATAATATTTTTCTACGGTAACTTTTATCGGTAGTTACAAGAAATTTAAATAAGCAAGTTGCGTTATGACTTATGACGTTCAAAATAACCGATGACCTTAGACATATTGATGTTACTGTACAAAACCGACTTCATAACCGCAAAGCCGTAACACAAATACACGCAGCGGCTCTTCGTATTAATTTTCGACAAATTAAACTTAAACGATATAAAATCGCGTGTCTTAACCAATCAATCAGCCCCTGAATTGTTGTAGCCTTCCTAAATAGACGAGTAGACTTTCTAAAGCATACAATTATCTTTTAATAGTTTGGAATATTGTTCGTAATAAATACCGTCGGCGTTTCCTTTTACCGTACGCTGCATCTAATTAGTAGTTATTTTGTTTTTTTTTTGTTCTATAATTCAGTTCTTGACTGCAACACATATTTTCATCTAATTACAAAACCTACAAGTCTTCAGACAAAATTTCGTCTTTTAATTTTCGTAGATTCATAGGAAACATCCTCCATATTTTATTCTATAAAATATTTTAACCTCTTTGTCATTCTCTCTCTGGTGATAGTAATTGTATTCTTTTTGTTTTTATTCCTATGTTTTGTTTTCTTTGCTCGCTCGAAATGTTATGGAAATAACGGAAGTAACGAAAAGAATAATTTATACAAAGTTCATAAACCGAATTAGCTACCTATACAGATGATACGTAGAAATGGAGAACTAATGTATCTATGTTTGCTTTTATTATTTACATAATATGTGGTTAAATCCTTCATTACAAAGTGTATATATTATTTTAAACCGTAATTTTGTAAATTACGATCTACAAAACTATATCAAAGTAGTAAGTGTAAATTATTATTTACAAAACAGCTATATCAAAGTAATAAATATAAATTACTATCCACAAAAATACCTCAAAACTTGAAAACGA